ATACAAGCCCTTACGTATACGATGGACTAATATACTTTTTGAAAGCACATTTCTAAAGCAATACAATATCGTCACGCACATTTTGTGTTTGTGGTACAGTATTTTAAAGTTGGTTAAACTATTATTGTGTATGTTTTCAAACACTTCAGATCATCATAACTTCATGAATACATTTTAGATTCAGTTCACTGCAAGTAGGTCGATGACTGTTCTATTATTGAATGGTAATTGTTATCATCGTGATGGAATAGACAATACCTGGATTTGCGTCAGGAGAATCAATTAGGGGCCTATAGGTATTTTGCCCAACCTGTCGTGGAAATGTATTGAATACGGTACTCAGTGCGTGATTCACTAATACACTTTTTGAAATCACATTTCTAAAGCAATAAAATATCGTCACGCACATTTGTATTTGTGGTATTTTAAAGTTGGTTCAACTATTATTGTGTACGTTTTTAAACACTTCAGATCATCAGTGCGTGTGAAAACACTTGAAAAATATATTTGCAAGTTGTTCTCCAGTGGGACTCGAACCCACATTCTCCAGATCACTAGCCTGGCATCATGCCTTTAGACCACCGAGCTTGCACCTGATGGCCAGGGTTGAATTCGAGCCAAAGTAANTTTGCAAGCGTTTTCACATGTACTGAGTATTCAGTACATTTTCACGACGGGTTGGACACAATTCCACCTATATGTTCTATTGATGTTGTCAATATTATAATATATCATAGATTCATGAAATGCTTAATTGGCCCTAAACGATAACATGACTTGACCATAATTTGTTCTCAATATTCTTTAATTTTTTTAACAAAATATTTTTTTAGATATTTCTGAGCGTTAATGCCGTACCGTATCTGTTTTAAAAAAACCTCAGAACGTATAAGCATTCAGAGTTTCGCCTGAGTAGACCCCACTAGAGGCTCTGTCTCTATGTCCGATCTGGTGCATTTTTACCAATTTTACCTAGGGCCCGGCAGTTATCTATGCCATAGTTACCAACCGTCACGCATCACTTCAAAGTGATATTGGATGAAACGCATTTTGCAGAAACACATGCGAGGACATAAATGTGTCACGCATTTAGCACTTGCGTGATAACGAATTATCACCAAATCAGGGGAAAACGTATTTGAAATTAGAAGAAATTGGTTTTATTAAAAATATAAAAACGGTATACAGTAGCTTGAGTCATTAGGGAGCTTTCTTTATCTCGTTCGAGAATCAATTCACAGAGAAAATTTCTCCTTTCGGACCAAAACAACCCAGCCGTAATAATATCGTATACACTCGCGTAGGTCCTATAAGGTGACCCGTGTATAAGACGACCCCCGAGTTTTAGAAGATTTTTGGTTGATATTTGTATGTCTGGCGTATAAGACGACTCCCTGTTTCATGGTCGGAATTCC